CTGACAGTTATCAGCTTCCTTCAAAGTCAGACATCAGTGAGGCAGAAGAACAGCTGGAGCCTGTTCCCAGTGTGCGCATGCACAGTGCCCAGACGAAGGGAACAGCTAAAGAACAAGTGTCGACTTGGGAGGAAGGCCACAGCGGGACAATGAATGACCCTTCCCAGGGGAAATAAAAGAGGAGCAACAGGGGAGTGCAGTTTGCAGGAGAATATTAATTCACTTCATTGGTTTGTGACCATCTGAGGCTCCTTGCCATGTTTTGCAAATATCAGCCTGGCAGCTCTCCAAGCCAGATAAGGTCTGTGACTGTAAATCCTCCCTTGAAAGACTTTGCTGGAGATGAAGGAGCAGAATTCACAGTCAATTAATAAAAGGGCTTTTTTTGTTGGGACAACAAGGACTTGGCTTCCTGCTCTTCGGAAGCCTCAGTCAGAAGAGTGGGATAAAGGAAAGTTTTGATGGCATTGCTTTGGAAAATAGCTTGTCCCCCTCATCCTCTCTGGGGCAGCCCCTCAAATATTGGAAGATGCTGTCCTGTCTCCCCTGATTTTTCCCATCCCTAGACGAGCCAGGCCCAGTTCCTGCAACCGTTCATTGTATGTTTTAACCTCCAGTCCCCTAAAATCACCCTGGTTGCTCTTCTCTGCACTCTTTCTAGAGTCTCAACATCTTTTTTATTAGTGTGGTGACCAAAACTGGATGCGGTACTCTAGGTGTGGCCTTACTAAGGCTTTATAGAGTGGTATTAGTATCTCACTTGATCTTGATTGTATCCCTCTGTAAATGCAGCTTAGGATTGCATTGGCTTTTTTTATTGCTGCCGCACACGGTTAGCTTGTATTTAATTAGTTGTCTACTAAGACTCAACGGAGGACAGACACTTCCTCAACCCCTGGCCTCCCCAAACATTGTTAAGGGAGACGTATCATCCCTGCTGGACAGCCCAGGTTCAAACTCCTCCCCTTCCTCCTCCAAATCAGGCCCTGATGGGCCCATGACATCCCCTGTTCCCCGTGGCTGATCCATTCAGGATCAGTTGGTGCAAATCTTTCCGTAAAGTTGTGGGGGAATCCGAGGTGGGAGGATGCCTTCCTCCCTGGCACCAACTCCCACGATGCCTCCGCAGACATCGACGAGTGCGCCCGAGACCTTGACCTCTGCCAGCCGCACGGGGTATGCGAGAACACCGAGGGCTCCTTCGTGTGCGTGTGCGACGAGGGATTCACGCTCGCCAAAGACCAGCAGAGTTGCGAAGGTAAACGGAGTGCGCGAAGGAAGCAGGGGGGGGGGAAACGCACCTTGAGGTGGGAGGAATTCCCGACAACGGCAGCGACGTTTCTCCACAGAGCTTCCCCACCATAAAAAGGAGTGTTACCTGAACTTTGATGACAGCGTGTTTTGCGATAGTGTGCTGGCCACCAACGTCTCTCGCCAGGAATGCTGCTGCTCGCTCGGGGCCGGCTGGGGGGATCACTGCGAGATCTATCCATGCCCCGTTCTCAACTCGAGTAAGTCGGAAACCTCCTGTGTCCCGTTCTCGTTCAATTTGAAAATGAGCCTTGTCCCAAACTCAGCATGAGACAGAATGGGGAGATAACAGTTGGAAGGGACCTTGGGAGGTCTTCTAGTCCAACCCTCTATCAGGCAGGAAGCCCGATAAGATTTCAGACAAATAATAGCAGCCTTTAGACTTATATACCGCTTCACAGTGCTTCACAGCCCTCTCTAAGCAGTTTACAGTGTCAGCCTCTTGCCTCTCACCATCTGGGTCCTCATTTGACCCACCTCGGAAGGACGGAAGTTGACCTTGAGCCGGTCAGGATTGAACTGCTGGCAATGGGCAGAGTTAGCCTACAATCCTGCATTCTAACCACTGGGAAGGAAAGAAGGAAAATAGCAATAGCTGTTAGACTTCACGGTGCTTCATAGTTCTCTCTAAGCTGTTTACAGAGTCAGCCTCTTGCCCCCGATAATCTGGGTCCACATTTTACCCACCTCGGGAGGACGGAAGGCTGTGTCAACGTTGAGCCTGGTGAGATTCGAACTGCCAAATTGCAGGCAGCCGGCAGGCAGCAGAAGTAGCTTGTAGTACTGCACTCTAACCACTGCACCACCCACCACGGCTGTTCTTAAAAACCTCCCGTGTTGGGGCATCCATAATGTCTGAAGAGCCGTGGTGGCACGGTGATTATCAATCAGAATAGAGCTGGAGGGGACTCTGGAGGTCTTCTAGTCCAACCCCCTGCTCAAGCAGGAGTCCCTACAGGGGTTGACAGAATCATGAGTTGAGTTTCACCCGTCTCTTCTTCCACCAGTTGAGTTCCACACTCTGTGCCCAGACGGCAAAGGGTTCATCCTGGATGAGACCATCCTGAACTACGGCATTCCAACGCATCGAGGTGAGTTTTGGGGCGCTCGGCCCTGAAGGACGGAGGACGGAGGCCTTTGGAGATGGCCTGGGTGGGAGCAGAAGGTGTCACAGCGAGGCGGAGCCTGGGTGGGAAAATTGTCCTCTTGACCCATCTCCCCCCACTTCTATAAAGCTGGATAAAAGGGGTGGGGGCTGCCGGAGCGGGGATTGAAAAATTTTAACAACCGGTTCCCTGCTCGATTACTCGGTGGACGTGGCCTACTCAGCCTCCCGCACCATGCTGCCGGGGGGGGGGGGAGTTTTCACGGGCCCATTTCTGGAACTTCCAGGAGGGCCGTTTTTCGCCCTTCCAGAATCTCCGGGCCCTACACTTACCTAGCATCCCAAATGGGCCGTGTGGAGATTCCTGGGAGGAGTGAGGCAGTGGGTGTGGCCAGCTAGTCTTTGCAAGTACCCATTCGGTGAACCAAATGTAAAAATAGCAACCTGTTCACCTGAACTGATCCAAACTGTTGAATCCCATCCCTGGGGGCAGTTGAGGGTCTTGAGGTGCTTCCGGTCGTCTCGGCGTAGACCTCAAAGCAGGATGAGGAGAGGGTTACATATCGGGGTGGCCGTGAGACCCCTGTGCCATATTGGTGATGTGGAGTTTTGTTTAATGACCTTCTCTTTCTCCTTCTACTCCTCTTCCTTCTCCTTCCATTCTTCCTTTTCGCCTCTGGTATCACTTTTTTTCCGTCTTCCTTTCCTGCTTCTTTTTCTCCTCCATCTCCTTTCTCTTCTTCCTTCTCCTCCTCTTTCTTTTCTTGTTTCCCATCTCTTCATCTCTCTTCTTCTCCCTTCTCCACCATCTTTTTTCCTCTCCTCTCCCCTTCCTCCTTCGCCTTTCTCATCTTTCTTCTCTTCTCTTTTCTTGTTTTCCACCTCTTTGTCTCTTTTTCCTCCTTCTCCACTTTCATATTTTTTCTTCCTTTTCCTTCTCCCCTCCTTCTCTTTTTCCTCCTCTACTTGCCCCTCCTTCACCTCTTCATTTCCTTTTCCTTTTCCTTTTCTTGTTTTCCATCTCTTCATCTTCTCCTCCACCTTCATCTCCTTTGTTCTCTTCATCCTTTCCTCCTCCTCCTCCTTATCCTCCTCTTCCTGCTCCTCCTCCATCACCACCTCTTCTTCGCTCCTTTCTTTTTCTTCTTCCCCTGCCTTCCGTCTCTTCCTCTTTCTTCTTCCTCCTCCTCTTTGTCCTCCTCTTCCTGCTCTTCCTCCTTCATCACCTCTTCCCTCCTTTCTTTCTCTTCGTCCCCTGCCTTCCGTCTCTTCCTATTTCTTCCTCCTCCTCTTTCTTCATCATCTCTTCTTTGTTCTTTTCTTTCTCTACCTCCCCTTCCTTCCATCTCTTCCTCTTTCTTGATCCCTCTCCTCCACCTCTTCCTGCCCCTCCTCCTTCATCACCTCTTCTTCCCTCCTTTCTTTTTCTTGCCTTCCGTCTCTTCCTCTTCCTTGTTCCTTCTCCTCTCCAGACATCGACGAGTGCTCCCTGTTTGGTGAAGAGATCTGCAAGGAAGGGAAATGCGTGAACACCCAGCCAGGTTACGAGTGTTACTGCAAGCAGGGTTTCTACTACGACGCCAACCTTCTGGAGTGTGTTGGTAATAATGGGAAGCCCAGCACGGGGAGTAATTTTGATATTTTGAGTAGCAACAGAGGAAGAGTCAGGCTGTCAGAGCTGACTTGCCATTCGGGAACCTGGAGGGGGGGGGATTAGTAAATTGTGAGCCTTCTATTTCCTGAGAAAGTTGCAATGGCCGTTAAGTGTGAAAATTGGTCGAAAACAGAGGTAGTATTCTGCTGGTTCGGACCGATTTGCCCAAACCGGTAGTGGAAATCGTGGCTGGCCACGCCCACCCACTCCGGCTCTATGAGCTCCCATTTAGGCTCGTTTTCAAGCCAAAGCGCATGTGCGGAAGGCTGGGCGCATGCATGGACAGGGCGCATGCGAGTGAGGTGAGCGCACACACGCGCTCACATTAGTGAACTGGTAGGGAAGATGTGAATATGTTGTGGCCTGCCAGTGGCCGGCGGAGCTGGCAGCAGAGTCGGACAGTGAGGAGGTTGGGGAGGAGCATGGGTCAGTCCTGGAGAGGATGGGGTAAGCTGGGACAAGGGCTCTGTGTCAGAGGCAGAGATGGGTGGGGTGGGGTGGCGAGGCCATCTGACAGTGCCTACGGAGCTAGGCAGCAATGAGGCAGAGGAACAGCTGGAGCCTCTTCCCAATGTTCGCATGTGCAGAGCTGCCAGAAGACGAGAACAGCTAAGAAATCAGGGTAGACTTGGGAGCAAAGTCACAGGTGGAAGGTGAATGGCCCCTCCCATAGGACTAAAAGAGGAGCGAAAGGGGAGTGGGCTTTTGCAGGAAACAATTTGCTCGTTTGGTCATTAGATTTGTTTCAGGAGTGTGAAGATCTGTCCGTGAATCTCAGAGACTCTGTGCCCAGAGTCTTTCCTTGCACAGCGCCTCATTTGGAAAATATTTAGCTTTCCAAGCTAGATAAGGTTTGTGGTCATAAATACTCCTTTGAAAGACTGTTTGCCAGGCCTTGGCTGAATGCGAATGAGAGGAATGGGTTTTGTCGGGACCAGGACTCTGCCTTGGGCTTTTTGGGAAAGCCTAGGTCAGAACACCCTGGTTATAATTCACATTTTTCAGTCACTAAATGAATGGTTGTAAGTCGAGGATTGCCTGCAATTCTGAAGGAGAAAGACACTGCAATTCTAATTTTGAGGCCTTGTGGATTAGCAGCCGCGATCCCAGTCTTTCCTCCCCCTCTGCCTCTGTTCTGTCCTAGATGTGGATGAGTGTTTGGATGAGTCCAACTGTGTGAACGGACGCTGCGAAAACACTCGGGGCGGTTTCCACTGTGCCTGCCCAGCCTCCACCACCTACGACGGGGCCCAGAAGAAGTGCATCCCCACCAGCAAAATCGGTGAGCCCTTGCAAGGTTTTTTTTTAAGGGAGTATTTCTCAACCTCAGACACTTTTAAGATGGGTGGACTTCAACTCCCAGAATTCCTCATTCAGCATTTCGGTATTTTTTTTCCTTTCTTTTTTTTCTGTCACCTTCCTTCCATCCATCCATCCATCCATCCATCCATTCTCCTTTCTCTTCCTTCCTTTTTCTTCCTTTCTTTCCTTTTCCCTCCTTTCTTTAATCCATCTATCCATCCATTTTCCTTCCTTCCATCCATCCCCCTTCGCCTTCATTTTTTCTTTTTTCTTTCCTTCCTTTCTTCAATCTATCCATCCATCTTCCTTCCATCCCTTCCTTCCTTCCTAGCTTTGCTTTCCTTCCTTCCTTCCTTCCTTCCTTCCTTCCTTCCTTCCTTCCTTCCTTCCTTCTTTCCTCTTCTGTTTGAGCAGGGGATTGGACTAGATGACTTATAGGGCCCCTTCCAATTCTGATATTCTATTCTAGTCTATTCTATTCCACCTTATCTTCCTTCCTTCCTCCTTCCCTTTCCTTTCTTCCCTTTCCTTCTTTTCTTCCTTCCCTCCCTCCCTCCCTCTCCCTTCCTCCCTCTCCCTCCCTCCCTCCCTCCCTCCCTTCCTTCTATCAGAAATGGTATAGGCTCTTCTGTTTGAGCAGGGGATTGGACTAGATGACTTATAGGGTCCCTTCCAACTCTGATATTCTATTCTATTCCATTCCATTCTATTCTATTCTCTTCTATTCCATCTTATCTTCCTTCCTTCCTCCTTCCCTTTCCTTCCTTTCTTCTCTTGCCTTCTTTTCTTCCCTCCCTTCCCTTCCTCTTCCTTCCCTTTCCTTCTTTTCTTCCCTCCCTCCCTCTTCCCTCTCCCCTCCCTTCCTCCCTTTTCTCTTCTTTCTCTTTTTCCAAACGTTGGGTTGCCTCCAAAACCAAAGCCACAGTCTCCTCCTGGCCCAGAAGGTGCCCAGTTGTCACCCTGTTGAATTTCCAGCCCGTCTCCCTCGTTTATCTTCTCTTCTCCCCCCACTCCCCCTTTCACCACAGACAAAGTGACCGATCGGCGGGACGTCTGCTGGCAACTCCGGGGCGAAGACGGGATGTGTTCGTCGCCTTTCGGTGGCCAACAGTTGACATACGAGGAATGCTGCTGCCGCCATGGCAAAGGGTGGGGTAACCAGTGCCACGCCTGCCCGCCACGCAGCCCAGGTAACGGAACATTCTGGGAAGACTGGCATCTCACCCTTCTTGTTGGCACCGGCTGTGCTTTTCTGCGAAGGCATGGGGAATTCTCCAAAGATGGATTGGAAAGGTGGAAATTCTAGCCAAATTCTCTTTGCGAAATCAGGACTGAAATTTGGGAGCCGAAGGGTCTTTAGAGCATGTGCAGAATTCCCTTATCTTTCTTACACTCTTGGATCCGGGGAAGATGCATTTGCAGGAAAGCTCAAACTGCAGCATCCATCTTTGCGCCTGAGGCTATGTGTTTGAGAATAGTTGAGCCAGTTTGCTCGAGTGGTTAAGGCATCAGGCTAGAAACCTGGAGACAGTGAGTTCTAGTCCCGCCTTATGCCTGAAAGCGGGCTAGGTGACTTTGAGCCAATCACCAGGCGAACGTGAGTTCTAGTCCTGCCTTATGTCTGAAAGCCGGCTGGGTGACTTTGGGCCAATCACCAGGCGAATGTGAGTTCTAGTCCTGCCTTATGTCTGAAAGCCGGCTGGGTGACTTTGGGCCAATCATCAGGCAAACGTGAGTTCTAGTCCCGCCTTATGCCTGAAAGCCGGCTGGGTGACCTTGGGCCAATCACCAGGCGAATGTGAGTTCTAGTCCCACCTTATGTCTGAAAGTCGGCTGGGTGACTTTGGGCCAATCACCAGGCGAGTTCTAGTCCCACCTTATACCTGAAAGCCGGCTGGGTGACTTTGGGCCAATCACCAGGCGAATGTGAGTTCTAGTCCCACCTTATGTCTGAAAGTCGGCTGGGTGACTTTGGGCCAATCACCAGGCGAGTTCTAGTCCCACCTTATACCTGAAAGCCGGCTGGGTGACTTTGGGCCAATCACCAGGCGAAGGTGAGTTCTAGTCCTGCCTTATGCCTGAAAGCCGGCTGGGTGACTTTGGGCCAGTCCCACTTCACAGGGTTGTTGTGGGGAAAATAGGAGAAAGAAGGAATGATAAATATATCCAGAACCCTGAACTATTTATAAAAATAATAAAGGTGGGATAAAAAAGAAATAAATCTTGTGGGCGCTCTCGCAAAAAGGGCTCTTGGGCTTCGGTGCCAGCTCGAAGGACAATGAGGACTGGGGTCTTTTTCTCTCCTCAGGGTCCAACTGCCAATCTGCTCCAAGCGAAAGCAATTCCTTCTGGGACTTCAGCACCTCGTTCGGGGCGGTGCATAAAGGTGAGCCCAAGGGGAGCAGAGCCCTGCATCGACAACATCACTGGCTGTGGAACTCCCTGCCACAAGATGGAGGGAGGCCCAAGAGCCTCGACTGGGGAAAGAGCTCTGAAGGGCAGCTTGCAAATCGTGCTGGCTGGGATTTCCTTCCAGGATCTTTGGCCCTTCCGTCCGGTCTCTGGGCGATATCGGGGAAAGGGCACCACTCAGGGATCCACGGAGGATTGAGCCCTCTAGGAGGGCTCTGCAGGGGCCTTTAGCCTGAGCAAAGGTCTCTTGGGATGTTGTGGACATGGCCCGATTTGCAGGGGGGGGTGGGCTTTCCATGGAACTGCCCGGGTGGGACCCCCAGGGCTGGGATGGCAGCTGCCCAGCTGCAGATGGAGGACCAAAAGGACTCCAGAGCAGGAAGAGTCAGGTGGAAATGTGTCCGTTGTTAGCAGGTGGAGATTCTGCGTAGTCCACATAAGGTTGTCTGTCAACCTATCCAGCTTCCCTCTGTCCCTTCTTTCCATCCATCTGTCTCTCAATCCTCCCTCCCTCCCTTCTTTCCTTCAAACTCCTTCCTTCCATCCATCCATCCATCCATCCATCCATCCATCCATCCATCTATTCTTTAATTCTTTCTCTCACCTCCCTCTTCCTTCTTTTGATCTCTTAATCCTTCCTCATCCTCCCCACCTTCCTCCGTTCCTCCGTCCCTTCTTTCCATCCATCTCTCAATCCTTCTTCCCCCTCCCTACCTTCTTTCCTTCAAATGCCCCTTCCTTCCCTCCCTCCCTCCTTCCATCCATCCATTCATCTTTCAGTCCTTCCTTCCTTCCTCCCCTCCCTCCCGCCCTCCCTTCTTTTCCATCCTTCCTTCCCCCTTCCATCCATCCTTCAATCCTTTCTCCCACCTCCCTCCCTCCCTTCCATCCTTTGATCTCTTAATCTTTCCTTCCCTCCCTCATTCCCTCCCTCCCTCTTTCCATCTATCCATTCATCTTTCTGTCCTTCCTTTCTCTCCCTCCCTTCTTTTCCATCTTCCCTTCCCCCTTCCATCCATCTTTCAATCCTTTCTCCCACCTCCCTTCCTCCCTTCCTTCTTTCCTTTGATCTCTTAATTTTTCCTTCCTTCCTTCCTTTGATCTCTTAATCTTTCCTTCCTTCCTCCCTTCCTCCCTCCTTCCCGTCCATCCATCCATCCCTCCCTCAATCCTTCCTCCCTCTCCCTCCCTTTCCTTCAAACTCCCCTTCCTTCCTTCTTTCCTTCCTTCCTTTCCTCCTTCCCTTTATCCATCCATCCATCTCTCACTCCTCCCTCCCTCCCTCCCATCCTGTCCCTTCTTTTGTTGAAAACTAGCAAAAAGTGTCATAAACCGAGGTCATGTTACATGACCCCCTTAATGCCCGCACTGGCCATAAAGGTGAGCCATTTGCCAAGCACCTGCCATGTGACCATGGGGTTGCAGTTGTGTGTGCTGACATCCGAACTCCAGAACCAAATCCTCAGTAGCTTTCCGGCGGTCCATCATAACTTCAACCAGTCACTAAGCGAGAGGTCATAAGTCGAGGACTACCTGTTCCTGTTTCCTGTGTTTGCCAAATTTTATGAAATAACGTTCCTGGTCTTTTTTTATTTTCTTTTTTTGTTGGCTGAACTGAACAGCAGCCCAGCTCCTCTGGGTGCAGGAAACAGCTGTCTGTGTGCTGGGATCAGACAAAGCAGGAAATTGCCTGCCTTTTTCCAGATGTTCGGGCATTTTGATCACATCTGTTTTCTTTTGGCTACAGAGGCTGACAGTTCAGAAGAGGACTCGGACGAATGCCGCTGCCTGAATGGGCGCTGCGTCCGCACCCAGCAGGGCTCTGTGTGCGAATGTCCCACCGGCTTCCAGCTGGACAGCACTCGCACCCGCTGCCTAGGTAAAGAGGACTTTCCTGCTCCTGCACTGCCCTGGTATTGAACCTTTGTTGCAGGGAGTGTTTAATTTCACGCGCTTCAGGATTAGGTGGAACCTCCAGATCCAGCGCAGTCTATCTTAGGATGCCCCCAAGCCGACTCAACCCTCGTCACGGGGGTTTGCATCGGCTTACAATCACAATTGAGGCCCGGAATTGCCGTTGCTAAATGAGACAAGTTGTTAAGTGCATTTCGCTCCATTTCTACCACCTTCCTTGCCACCGTTGTTAAGGGAATCCCTGCAGCCGTTAAGTGAGTCACGGGGCTGTTAAGTGAATCTGGATTTCCCCATTGACTTTGCTTGCCTGAAGGACCCAAAAGGAGGATTCGCATGACCCCCCAGCACTGCAGCCGTCGTAATTATGAGTCAGTGGCCGACCCTGGGAATGCTGCAACAGTCAAAACAAGTGAAATGCTACCGGTTCAGGCGAACCGGTGTTTCCAACGATCAGCTGTGACGCAGGATTTATATTTGCTGGAGATCGCACTGCACAGCTGATCGGCAAGAACTTTTTAAAAACTTTTTAAGTTACTTTCTTTTTTTTAAAAAAAAGTTCCGCCGATCAGCTGTGCCGCGCGATTTATATTTGCTAGAAAGCATGAAGTCCCGCTTTCCAGCGAATCTAAATCCTGCACCACAGCTGGTTCCCCCGCCCCTTACTGTCCAACTTCCCTTCAGCTTCTTAGCGACTGCAGAGCATTTCACCTCTGGTCATAAGTAACTTTCTGCAGTGCCGTTGAAACGTCGAAGAGTCACTAAATGAATTGCCGGCCAGCTGGTCTTCGGGTTTCATGAACGTTTCCCAGAATTCCCCCAGCCACTATGCTTTAAGAGGTGTGGACTTTTGATTCCCACATTTCCCAGGACACAACGTTTTAAGATTCATAAACTTCAACTCCCAGAATTCCCTCTCCGGCATGCTTTAAAGATGTGTGGACTTGGCATTCTGCAGCCCCCTGGGGAGGAAGTTGAAGTCCACTTCTATTAAATCCTGGGGAATTCTGGGAGTCGAAGTCTAACCTCTTAACATTGTCAAGGTTGAGAAACACTGCGTTAGAGTAACATTAAACTTTCATATCTATCTATATCTGTCTGTCTGTCTGTCTGTCTATCTATCTATCTATCTATCTATCTATCTATCTATCCTCTATCTATCTATCCTCTATCTATCTATCTATCTATCTATCTATCTATCTATCTATCTATCTATCTATCTATCTATCTATCTATCCTCTATATCTATCTATCT